CTTTTGATAATCTAAAAATAATAAAAAGGAAAAAACATGATTGCTTTTGACAGCTTACCTTTTCGGCGTGAAAATAAATTGAAAATATATGCACCTGTGTGTCAAATCGAAGAGTTTTCCTTGCCATAAAATTGACATGTATGTGTACCTTTCTAATCAGCACACTGCCTTCCTGTGCGGCCAACACCCCTCCCCCTTCTCCCCTACCCCTATCCCCCAAAATGATAGTTCGGCTCGTGTGTGTTCACCTTCAACATACCTGTACTGCTCTCTCCCCTTGTGTCAAACGGTATCTATTTTCGGGATTATGTTCATACCTTGTGTGAACTACATGTATACTCAGAAAAGATTTTTTCTACAATTTATGGATTAAAAAAATCATTTCCTTGCTTGAACTTAAATAAAAAAATCATATAAATCAATTTAATTAAACGAAGTACCTGAATATAATCCGCTGATTTATTTATTTGCGCGAGATTTCCATAATGTTTACGTAACTAAGTCTTTTAATGAACTTTAAAAAAAAAATACTGCACTTATGGGACATGACCTTTCGGATCATCGGGTTTTCTTTCGGATCACCGGGTTTCCATTGGGTTATAGACAGAATTAATTCTAGGAAACAATTTCTTTGATCGTAGAAAAGATTGAAATAATTCTAACATTCTAAACTATGAAAATTTGCTCGTATTAATTTTTTCCTACTATTTTTTGCTATAATAATAAAAAAGAAGTCTGATCCCGCCGTGATCATGCAAGACGATTAAATGTATTGCACCCAATCAATTTATAGTACATGTATTAATCGATTTCATTCCATACGTATATATCTTTATTAAAGAAGTCAATATTATTTTTGACTATTCGGTTAGATCATGTTTATCTTATTTTAAATTGGTTATGGTTTTTTTAACATCCCGCCCTTCGAATATGCCATATATGAGATTACCAGGTGGGTCTTAAATAATTTCCAGGGCCGGTTTAATAATTCATTTGCATTAGAAACAGTACACACAAAGTTCAATAGCAATGATTTATAATTATTTACTTGGAAAAGTCGCATTTCACCCGTTTGATATTTTTTTTTTTTATAAATTTTTGTGTTTTGTATTGTAAAGAAAAAAAGTATTTTTTCATTCAATGTTCGTTAATTACGAGGTTTTAAGTATATCTGATATATAAATGTTTACATTTACATAAGTGAGAGCTGAGCGTAAACGTACATGTACATACATGTGCAGCTGTAGCAGATTCATATTCTGTTGACACAGTTTACATGTTTAAATGCAGAGCGCCATTATATTAACAATTATTTAGATTTCTACTCAGGAAATTAATTTTATTGAACTATATAGTTCTTTAAAGCCGATTTCTTTGGACCTTTCTTTCGGCCGGTCTTCTATATGTATTTTTTCCCCTAAGATTTTAATATTTAATTGCGATTTTTGGATACAGCGCAGATTGTAAGCTTTAGACATTAAATACAAATATTTAATTTATTGCGTAAATTTCTTCCGTGAAATAATTTAGTACTTGTAGACAAATTTATTAGGTACAAATATATTTTTCATATTAAGTAATAAATCTATGTATAGAGAATTTATAGTAGTACCCGTGAGAAACGGCACATAATCATGTAAGGGATTTTTCTGCAACAATTACATGTATGTTAAAATATCCATAATTAAAGAAGTCATAGTTCAACATTAAGATGAGAATTTCAACATTTACACAAATAATCGTAAATCCACACCCTTGAGTAGAAATTTAAAAAAAATTACAGTTTCCATTTCATAATAATCCATTTAATCATTGTCAAAAATATAAATAAATAAAAAAAAAAATTGTAAAATTACCAGTGATCTCAATTTTTTTATTAAAATAATTAAATGTACTTTATAATTTAGATTTGAAGCATTTAAATTAAAATATCACAGTAAAACAAAACAATCTTTTCGTTTTGTCAGAAAACGTTCCGCATTTTGAAACAATCCTATCAGGTTTTGCGTTTATCCTATCGTGAAGATCGTTTATCATGTCTATCGTGTTTTGCGTTTATCGTGTTTTGCGTGTATCGTGTTTTGCGTTTATCGTGTTTTGCGTTTATCCTATCGTGCGTGTATCCTGTTCTATCTTGCGTGTATCCTATTGTATCGTGCGTGTATCCTATCGTATCGTGCGTGTATCCTATCGTATCGTGTATCCTGTAAAGAATAACGATGCGGGTACTGTAATCTTACCACCATTTCTGAAAATAATTATTTTTGTCTTCTGAATATTAACTTTAAGATTCCACACAGTAGTATAATTACATAATGAATTCAACAATTGTTGCAAACCCTCTGGGCTTTCAGACATAATTACCATATCATCTGCATACATAAGGAGAAACAAACTAATTTCTTGTACATCTATACATTGACAATTTTCCTTAATAAATTGCATCTCAAAATCATTTACGTATAATGAAAACAGTAAAGGGGAGAGTGATTCGCTTTGCATTAGTCCGGCATTATTAGTAAAATATTCACTAAATAAGCCATTGTATTTCACACAACATTTTATACTTTGATACAATGCTTTAATTATTTTATACATTTTCCCTTGAATACCAATATTAAATATTTTCCTCCACAGTTTAATTCTATCTATAGAGTCAAAAGCTTTCTGATAATCAATAAAACAGCAGTATAAACGCTTTTTCTTACTCAAGTATTTGTTAACAAGTGATTGTAACACAAATATTGCTTCAACAGTTGACAACCCTTTTCTAAAACCAAATTGTGCATCAGACAAAATACCATAGGTTTTCTCCCACCGTAAGATTCTATTATTAAGAATTGTAGTAAATAACTTTCCAAAACAGCTCAAAATAGTTATTCCTCTATAATTATTTGTATCATTAACATTCCCTTTCTTGTACACTGGGACAATAAACCCTTTTGACCAAGACTCTGGATAGCATCCGCTCTCAAAAATATTATTAAATAATCTGTGTAAAAGTGGAAATAGAATTGTTTTACAATTAATAAAAACCTCATTTAGGATATAATCCTCTCCACAGCTCTTATTAAGCTTAAGTTTACCTATTGCATCTTCAATTTCCTTTTCGCTGATTATTTGGTCTAATTCTTCATACGATGGATCCATACCCAAAATGCTATCATTATCTAACTCAGCATTTGTTGTAGATACTAGATCTTTAAAATGGTTCAAAAAATCTTCATTGGACAGAGAAATATGTGAGCGCTTTTTTTTCTTTTTAAAAAGAGAATGAAAATGTTTTGTATTATGTTTTCTCAAGTAGTCTAGCATATTTCCCTCATAACGTTTGTACTGGCGTTTAAGTTTCTTTTCTGTTTTTTTTATAGATATTTTTATCGTTACATAGAATTCTCCGATTTTCTTCTGACTTATTGTAATTAAAGTTTTGTAAACTAAGCATATATTTTTTATATAAATCTTTACATTCTTTAGTAATCCATGGTTTATCTTCTGTATGACGTTTAGGATGATTTGATCTAAATGCTGGTGCTTCATGGCTATCGTTTTCCCTGACTTCACAATAAGCTAATACCTGCATATTTATTGTTTCGCATAATTTATCTACACATACATTAACATCCCTCAAGTTTGTAATTTTTACGTCCACAATATTACTAAGGATATCATAGTTCTCTGCCAATTTATCAAATATCAACTTACTGTTTTCGTTTTTCCACTTGACTGATTTACACGCTGCCCTGCCAGTGTTTTGTTTACATTGTGTGTCATTTTTATCAGTGTCCATGTTACCTTTTCATGTAATTCTGAACGATACGGGTGAGTGATCAGAGAAAGGTGTAAAAGTACTGCTAGAAAAGTCAGTAATTTTATCTATATTATTTGACTCACATAATAAATAATCTATCAAACTACTTCCATTTGTATTTTAAAATGTAAAACCTCCGTGTTCATCATTAGGAATTCTACCATTGACAATTTTCAAACCTGTAGATTTACATACATCAATCAGTCTCCTACCAAATACATTGCATATCTTATCGGTATTTTGCCTTTTGGGAAAATTCAAATCAAAATCTTCTTCATAAACCAAAACAGTATTCTCGTTAAGCATATCTTGAGGTAACTTATCGTTAGCAATGTAATCGATGCATTCACCTGTTCTAGCGTTAAAATCTCCAAAAATATAAACTTCCCCACTATCTTTGTATTTACAGTAAGATTCCTCTAATAATTGAAACAGATCAATGTCAAGTGAATCGTAAAAAACATTATTATTCGGTGGTATATCACAAAATGCTAAATATAAAAAATTGTTGCTGCACTGATTTACGGTACATAGTTTTAACCATACAATACTATCAAAAATAATATCTACTACAGATACTTTGAAAGACAGTGTATTTTTATATAAAATGACAATACCTCCACCTTTGATTTCTCTTTGTATAATAATTTTATCGTAATTCTCTAACTCAAACGAATCATCTTTACTTATCCATGTTTCACAGAGGCAAATGATATCAAATGAATTAATAACTGCCAAAAATTCATCATTTGATAATTTTTCTAACAGTGAACGACAAACATTCCACGATATAATCTAAGGTCACTTACATTCTCTGCTATTTTATTTCTTTCTAATGGTTTACTTGTCCATTTTAACTGGCCCGTGTACTGGTCGCGTTCCATTGTATTGGAATCACAATTGTCCGTATTAGCGACCACGTCTCCCTATCTACTATTCCTACGTACATCAGACTGCTGAGGTGGTGGGCGCTGGAGAGCGTGGGCGTAATCCATTGGCTCCTCGTCAAGTTCGTCATAATCTACGTCGGGCTCGTATAGGTAGCCATTTACGTACAGTTTGTCGCGCACTAGTTTTACGTATGCACCCTCATCTCTGTATTGCCGCATCACTGGGATAAGTTGACGTAGTAGAGTGTTTCGGCGACGGATTATGCCTCATCAGGGGCCCCAATAACGATATTCCATGTTTATTGTAAACTTGATTTTATCAATAGATCTCCGATGTTTTTATGCTTACTATACGCAATGATGGGTTCCGATTTGAATAGATCTTTGCATGTTGGGTCTGCTTCCAAAATATTCCAATACTTTAAAATCCGTTTTTTTAATCCTTTGACGCGAGGGTTAAATTTTGTAACCATGACGTGTGGATGACTTGAATTTGTTTTTTCTCTCTTTCTTAAAAAGAGTTGTCTTTCCTTCTGTGTTGTTTCTTCGACTATTGGGTTAATTTCTTCCTCAGAATATCCTCTCTTTGAAAGATGTCCCTTGAAATCCTGTAGAATTGTTTTAAGAACTGAGGGGTCGTTAGTATTTCTGGAGTGTCTTATACATTCTCCTTTGATGAAACCTTTAAATACAGAGACGTTGTGTGCACTGTTTCTATGAAGATATTGAAAATTATTAGTTGGTTTTATGTAAGATTTGATATCAAGTTTCTGACAATGATTAAATCTATTGCCTTTGTAAACCGTTGTGTCCAGGAAATTCACGGATGAGTGAGCTATTTCAAATGTGAATTTAAGATGTTTATGACAGCTGTTACTGATGTCAAAAAATTCTAGAATTTCTTCCTTTGTTCCGTTAAAGATTATGAATCCATCATCCCTAAATCTGCCATGAAACAGAATTTTGTTGACCTGATGAAATTTATATTCAATAATCTGCGTAATTTCGTACATTCTCATGTCTGAGATTTCCGGGGAAGGTACTGCGCCCATGCTGCAGCCTATGATTTGTTTGTAGAATTTTCCGTTAAATTCAAAGTAATTGTTTTCTAATACGCATCTGAGAAGAAAAATTAAGTCGTCCACATCAGGATACGGGATGTCTGAGTTGCTTTTATCCGCGTTGTTGTAAGCATTCCTGACGGCATTTAGTTGTTCTTCAAATTCCATATTTGTATACATGCTGGTTACATCGTAAGTGATTAGTAACGCATCAGTCGGGAGTTCTAAGCCTTCGATCTTATTGATAAAATCAGTAGTGTCCTTGATATAAGTTAATTGTTTTTGTACGATGGGGATAAGAAAGTAGTCACAATATGCCCCAATTTTCCTCGTTGGTGTATTGCATTGAGCAATAATTGGCCGCCCAGGTGGTAATCGTCTGATACTGCATAGGTCATTAATGAGGGCATTTCGGACATTGTCTTGAAGTTTGTGTATTTTAGGGAGCAGATAAAATTGGCCGCATTTGAGTGACGGATTTTTCTCTTTCAGAAATTGTAGAGTAATTTTATCTATGGAGCCCCTGGAGTGCATGTCATTTATTCTTGTTTGAATAAGATCTTGCAAGTATATTAAGTTTGGCTTTTCAACTTGCATATAATGCTTTGAGAGTAACTGGCGCTCTGCTTCTGATATGTACTGATTCCTGTCCATTATAACTGTAGTATTGCTTTTGTCCGCTTTTTCAATGACAACATTGAGATTTTTTTTAAGCGAGGAAAGAGCGTTTCTTTCGCTATGAGTTAGGTTGTCTTGGAATGTTTTGGTTGTGATAGATGATAATTCCAACTTTGTTTTGTCAATGTATTCTTCAAGTAGGCTACATGTGTAAGGGGGTTGAAAACCCGACGAAGTTCTAAATGGGTGGATTTTTGAATCTGCCCCATTATCAAAATGATATTTGCATCTCAATTTTCTAGCAAACTCGTCGAAGTCTTTAAGGATACACCTCTTAACGTTTTTTTGTTTAGGTGTTGGAATGAATTTAAGCCCTTTTGCTAATAGGACATATTCATTATCATTTAGTTGGTATTTTGATAAATTGAGGACGTATTTACGTGCCTCGTTTAAGTGCTTCCACTTTTTGATACGTCTGAGGTTGGCAAAGTATGGTTTGATTCGTTTAGTACTTTTATTGTCTTTTTTCCGTCTATTGAATCGCCTTGCCATTCCAATAGAGGAAATGGATACTGAGTTTGTAGATTATTGAGACTACAATTAATAAATGAATATCGTCTATTACACGTGTTGACGTTGTAATAGAGATTATAAAAGTTTAGCTGCAATGGCCCGTCTAGTTATCAGAGTGTGATAAGTTAGAGGGTTTTGTAGTAATCTAATGCGCGGATAGAACTTCATAGGTTATATAAATTTATTAGTATCACGTGATCTATGTCACGCCTTAGAAAATGATATCAAATGAGAACAATTTTAGAAACATCAACAATAAAGAAAATATCCATATGTATTGTTAAATACATTGTATGCTCATTGAGTGTACATTAAACATTCTCACTAATTTAATCAACAACTTCCTGTTTTCCATAAACGACATCAATCAACCAGACTTGATAATGAGTTATTGGGACCCGACACTCTAAACCACATTGAATGAAATAGGATGATATTGTTATGATTAAAATAATAGTTATAATGGTAGTAGTAGAGTGTTTCGGCGACAGATATGCCTCATCAGGGGCCCCAATAACGATATTCCATGTTTATTGTAAGCTTGATTTTATCAATAGATCTCCGATGTTTTTATTCTTGCTATACGCAATGATGGGTTCCGATTTGAATAGATCTTTGCATATTGGGTCTGCTTCCAAAATATTCCAGTACTTTAAAATCCGCTTTTTTAGTCCTTTGATGCGAGGGTTAAATTTTGTAACCATGACCTGTGGATGGCTAGGCTTTGTTTTTTCTCTACTTCTTAAAAAGAGTTGTCTTTCCTTCTGTGTTGTTTCTTCAACTATTGGGTTGATTTCTTCCTCAGAATAGCCTCTCTTTGAAAGATGTCCCTTGAAATCCTGTAGAATTGTTTTAAGAACTGAAGGGTCGTTAGTATTTCTGGAGTGTCTGAGTCAAGTGATTTGAGGTACGTGGCTGATGAGAGTCACTTTCTTTGAAACTGATATGAAGGACAACGTCCCAATGGCTCTATTCCCGAGAATCGCCGACTTTGTCTGCGATCCGTACTTCCTGTCATTTGATCTCACTGATTCTCTTGTTTCGGTGTTGTCATACTATTAATTCAGGATTTATACTATGTATAAATTAAAACTGGTCCGCAAGAGGAAAAATGCACAATTGGCATTTTAAAATAAGACAAACTGATCTATGGATGATTAAAACCTTGCACCAGGTTCACCCACGCATCAAGAGGACGGAAATTCCGTCGTATAAGAATGCAGCAAACCGAAAACGTATCTGGAATTTTGACTGGGTGACTGCATTCATCATTTTATATTTACAAAAATGTGTTTTCGGATTATATTTTGATTGGGAGTAATGAAACAGGTAGCTATGCTTGTATTTTATCACTCGCTAATTAAGTTCCAATCACTCTGATTTGTCAGGTACGAATGGAGATTTGAATCACGTGATCTTCCACGTGCGCTGGTTCTAAAACTACAAGTACATTCACAACAGAATGATACGTCGTTCCGATCGGAACGCTATATGTTAAAGCGCAAATTGCGCAAGGCTTAAGAATTACAAAGCCAATTAACAAAGAGATCATAGAACAATATAGTTCTCTTAAGCCCTATTTACACGATCTGATTTGTAAGATGTGACTTGCCACATCTTACAAATCATACCGTGTAAATAGGAAAATCATAAGACAGATATGAAGTCAGATGGAGTCAGATGGAATAGAAACATGCTCTATTCCGTCTGGCAAGTCAGATGGTTTTAACCAATCATTGAAAAGGTCAAAGAGGTTGATCTATATAAAGAAGAACTAACATGTGAATTTTTCCCGCACTTCTTCTCCAAAGATAATTCAATATCAATTAATCTTATTTATTGCAATTAAAATGTGAGGGAAATCCTGAGAGGACATTTTCTATTGGCTGGGCAGAAGAGAGAACTGAAATTAACTACAGAACAAACTGTAAGATTAGTAGAACTATATCAAGAAGAAGTAGATTTATTAAAACACAAATGACTATAAAACTATCATCATCTTCCATTGTGAAATGTAAACAAAAAAATTTAGAGGGAAATATTAATGAACTTCATGTCTGACAAATCATACTGTGTAAATGAAACACTGGAGTCAGATGTGAAATCACATCTGAAATCACATCTTACAAGTCAGACCGTGTAAATAGGGCTTTAGCTCGTGAGCTTGTATCTCATTTTCACATCGGACGTATTGTCTGATAATGAAAAATTATTTTTGACGAGAGGGCCCTCTCCAAAGTCACAACATGCAAGAAATTTACTCATTCGTTTATCAATGAGTTTGCTGAAAAGTTGAAAATAGATACTTGTCTCTTGATCCTAATGAGAACATTGCGATGCCTCTTTCTCGCTTTAAAAGCGGTTGAATTTGAACCAGATTTATAATGACTCCATATATTACGTACCTTGACAATACAAAACGTGAATTGTCATCACTGGAAGTCGGAGAGAAATTTGAAATCTCAGATTTTGCTTTATAAAAAGCATTGATGGAACTTAATAAAAACAAAAATTTCATCTAATAAAAGCTGACTAAATGATGTCACTGAATGAAACACAGTAAAGAGTCGTATGAACGGCACTTAAATTCAAAATATAGCTGCTGAATTTAGTATCCCAAATCAAAACATCTTGATGAACACATGGCTGAAATGAATGCAAAGGGTGTCCTTGACTATATTACTTATAGCTTTCTGCAATTAGCAGATAACACGAGGACGGAGAGATTAAATCTACTCCATAAAATATACAAAAGTAATTGATGCTGCAAATTACCTTTATTTCTCAAGAAGGCCTATTACATTTCAAAAAGGCACTTACTTAAATGTAGTCATTTTTATTGATTATAATTTTAATCATTTATTGTGCTTGCATAACTTGAGCACAAATTTTATGGATATCTCAGACTTCACATTGAAGAATGAACTTCTGCGACCACACAACGAGAATTTGCTGGTCAGCTGTGCTGTAACATCACTTTACACAAACGTGCAATTGGAGAAGCCTATGGCTGCTGTTGATACGGCTTTTAGGGAAATTCTCAGTCTAAGCCGAGCCCACAACATACCAAATTTATTTACTCAGATTTAATATATTTGAATTTGCAAATATATACAAACAAATAATTGAATATGCGATGGGTTCTAAGTCAGGAACCCCATTCTGTATGCGATATTCGCTAATAAAATCGATGTATAAAATTATAAAAATGCCAGCATATTCAAAGAAATATAAGGATTGCAATACAATCCTCCAAGAAAAACCTATTGTGTCATTAAACACATTAATAATCTGAGTAACATGCTCCTCTCCTAACTAATTTAATAATTTGTATAACAGATGTGCAAATAGGCTCCTGATGATGGCGGATTTGCAGCTAATTAATATACTATCAAAATCTTTAACCTCGTATATATCACACCGCCGAAACACTAGATTAGTGTCGAGTCAAGTGATTTGAGGTACGTGGCTGATGAGAGTCACTTTCTTTGAAACTTCAAGACAATGTCCGAAATGCCCTCATTAATGACCTATGCAGTATCAGACGATTACCACCTGGGCGGCCAATTATTGCTCAGTGCAATACACCAACGAGGAAAATTGGGGCATATTGTGACTACTTTCTTATCCCCATCGTACAAAAACAATTAACCTATATCAAGGACACTACTGATTTTATCAATAAGATCGAATGTTTAGAACTCCCGTCGGATGCGTTACTAATCACTTACGATGTAACCAGCATGTATACAAATATGGAATTTGAAGAACTACTAAATGCCGTCAGGAATGCTTACAACAACGCGGATAAAAGCAACTCAGACATCCCGTATCCTGATGTGGACGACTTAATTTTTCTTCTCAGATGCGTATTAGAAAACAATTTCTTTGAATTTAACGGAAAATTCTACAAACAAATCATAGGCTGCAGCATGGGCGCAGTACCTTCCCCCGGAAATCTCAGACATGAGAATGTACGAAATTACGCAGTTTATTGAATCTAAATTTCAACATGTCAACAAAATTCTGTTTCATGGCAGATTTAGGGATGATGGATTCATAATCTTTAACGGAACAAAGGAAGAAATTCTAGAATTTTTTGACATCAGTAACAGCTGTCATAAACATCTTAAATTCACATTTGAAATAGCTCACTCATCCGTAAATTTCCTGGACACAACGGTTTACAAAGGCAATAGATGTAATCATTGTCAGAAACTTGATATCAAATCTTACATAAAACCAACTAATAATTTTCAATATCTTCATAGAAACAGTGCACACAACGCCTCTGTATTTAAAGGTTTTATCAAAGGAGAATGTATAAGACACTCCAGAAATACTAACGACCCTTCAGTTCTTAAAACAATTCTACAGGATTTCAAGGGACATCTTTCAAAGAGAGGCTATTCTGAGGAAGAAATCAACCCAATAGTTGAAGAAACAACACAGAAGGAAAGACAACTCTTTTTAAGAAGTAGAGAAAACACAAAGCCTAGCCATCCACAGGTCATGGTTACAAAATTTAACCCTCGCATCAAAGGACTAAAAAAGCGGATTTTAAAGTACTGGAATATTTTGGAAGCAGACCCAATATGCAAAGATCTATTCAAATCGGAACCTATCATTGCGTATAGCAAGCATAAAAACATAGGAGATCTATTGATAAAATCAAGCGTACAATAAACATGGAATATTGTTATTGGGGCCCCTGATGAGGCATATCTGTCGCCGAAACACTCTACTACTACCATTATGACTATTATTTTAATCATAACAATATCATCCTATTTCATTCAATGTGGTTTAGAGTGTCGGGTCCCAATAACTCATTATCAAGTCTGGTTGATTGATGTCGTTTATGGAAAATTTTGCAACTATATGCGATAGTTAAATAAAATAATGGTTTTCAGATGTTCTTTAATCTTTATACCTCTTTTTTCAGACTGAAAAATGCGAACAATTCAACATTTAAGAAG